ATATATATATATATATATATATATATATATATATATATATATATTCTGTTTATGTAGGCTATATACTGTATTCTATATACAGTACCAGTCAAAAGTTTGGACACACGAATGGGAAGTGTGTCCAAACTTTTGACTATACTGTACTATAATATAGCCTACACACAGAATATTGGCCAATATATCGGTTTTGGTCTTTTTTTTACTCCCAAATATCGGTATCGGCATTGGCCCCCAAAAAACCCATATCAGTCGGGCTTTAATATAAATTATATATACACTACGGTTTAAAATTTTGGGGTCAGTACATATTTTATTTTAATTTTGAAAGTAATGAATGCTTTATTAGGCAAAAGTGACAGTGTACATTTATAATGCATATATAATATAATAGACTACTTTTAGATTACTTTTGAATTAAAACTTAAAAATTCCTATTATAATAAATATAAAATAAATTATATACCTGTATACACACACACAATGTATAATTTACTATATAATAAATTACTATAGAAATAATATAAATATAAATAAATTCTACATAATTATACAATTTTATATATAATTTTTTTTTTTATAATGTGCAGTTATGAATTATGCACATTAAGAATGTGTTCTAAAAATAATTAGGGCCTATTATGAATTAATTTTCAAATAAATTAATGCCGTTAATTAAATGCTTTTAATCTTTTAATTCAATCAAAAAAATGGCAGTGAAGACTTGAACTTTCTATTCATCCCATAATCTACATAAAAATAATAAATTCTATCGAATATAAAATAAAATTTATAAAAAATTATTACAAAAATGTAAACTTTTTAAATAGTGTGCAGTTATGAATTGCTCAAAAATACTGTGTGTGTTCTGTGAATTTGTGTTCTGAAAATAAATAGGGCCTATTATGAATTCATGTTGACTTTAATTCTCTATTATATCCTGTAGATATGCTACTCCAATATTACATGTTCCATCCCATCAATCAATCAATCAATCAGTCAATCAAAATAATATATATAAAGTTTTTTTGTGTGGCATTTTTGCCTTTATTAGTTTAGGACAGTATTTTCAGACAGGAAGCAAAGTGGGAGAGAGAGAGAGGGGGATGGGATCGGGAAAGGTCAACAAGACCATGTGCCAATATTTTAAGAAATGTAAATGTAAAAGTAATTAACAAGCTTTAGCATGAACCAATCCCCTGCAAAGCAAATATCATGATTTTAATCAATTCAGCTTTCACCAAAATGCCAAACAAAGTGTGATTGCATTACACAGTAGCAGACCCGACACCGATCAAAACAGCTCTACTGCACCAATTATCTAGAATGCAACCATAGTTGACCCACAAAAATCAGTACCAGTGTGGTGCTTCTGCTGTTTACTGGCTTGATGAGGTTCAATAGTTTCAGCTTCCACGCGAGGTCCTGGGAAAAATGTCACAACAACACACTGACCAACACTACATATTATCCCTTCTGTCACTTCCTGAACTCATCTACAACTGTAACACGCTCAAAATGAAGATCTGTACCTGTGTGGATGTACAGGAGCCCAGCCTGCTGCTGTTGTTTCTGTTTGATGCGTGAGTACTGTTTCTTCAGCGCACTGATGTCGGTGCTCATGCGCTCCAGCATCATGCTGTTGATTGCCGCCTGGTGCTCGGCCCGTCCCGCGCCCACTGCCCCGGGACTCATCTCGGCCATGTTACTGCCGTGAGAGCTCTGCTCCGCTCTCTGATCTGCAGGCCAGATGAAAACATCCAAAATGAAAATGCAAGAATATCTGAGAAACGTTTTGTTGAGTAACTTGAGTAATGGCTGCGTCAGCTTCTTTTTTTTTTAAACCTTTCATTTGTTTAGTTGCACTGGAACTGAAGGCTGTAATTAAGGACAGCTGGAATGAGTCGACCCACCTCAGATACAACAAGAACTAACAAATGCACTGAGAATTAAATCCATTTGAGGACAAATTCAGACAGGATTGGGAAGGATTTGCCAGGGTTAGGTTGGCAGAGTGAGCTACACAGAGCTCATATTTGCATTACTCCATGAGATCACCCGTATTTTGACAATGCCAATACAGCTTTAGTGACTCATAAAATGTTAAACATTACATGAAACATCTTGTGCATTTGATAAATTCCTGTGTTTAGCAGGATATAAATCATGGAGCAGGAGTGACGTTTGTAACCTCACAGACTGCACTAATAAATCTGCTTTCAGCTTTTGGCTTATGAAAGATAATTAGACACAGACCTTTAAGGTGCTTTTGGTATCTTTGGATCTCAGGGGCCAGAAGTCCTCCAAGAGGCCCCAGGCAACCCAGAGCAGTGACAATAGAGTCTTCATCATCCATGTCAGCATCATCATCATCACTCTCCCATCCATGGAGTGCAAGACTATACATGGGGGAAAAAAACAATATTATGCATACAATAAAACAGACATTATAATATGAAAAAGTAACACATTTTAAAAAATAAAACAGAAAGAAAAACCCAGAAAATTTATTAAATTATTAAATTATGCAGATTAAATTATGTAAAAATAATTGTTGTATTTATTAATAAAATAATTGTAACATTTTAAAAATAGAAACAAAAATAAAGTACTAAACTTTAAGACATGAAGTAATTAAATATGAAAATATAAAGAAATTAATTAATAAAATTGAAAAATAAAATACTTTTTAGAATGTTTTTAAAATTAAATGAAATTAAAATGAATTAAAATATAATATAATATAATAAAAAAAGAATAACACTAAAAATATAATTAAATATTTTGCAGAATAAAATAGATAGATAAAATAGAAAACAAATATTTAAAAAATAATACAACATAAAATACAAAAAATTAAGAACAAAATAATCCAAACTAATTTAATTAAATAACTGAAATATGTAAATAAATATTTTAAAATAGACAGAAATAAATGTACATGCTTTATTATTGCACTGTTGCTTGCCTACATCTCTTCTTAAAAGTCAAAAATTATAATTAAACTGAGTATAACGCTTGTGAAGATAAGGCAGAACATTTGCATTTGATATTTGCATGCCAATATACACACGTGTGTGTCTAACTGAAAATCAAGTGTTTACTATTGTCATTTTGCATTACTGACACACTATTTTCCTATTTAATACTGTAAAGTTGCTTTGACACAATCTGTATTGTTAAAAGCGCTATATAAATAAAGGTGACGTGCCATAAAACGACACCCTGCAGTCATGTTCACGTTTTATGACTACTAAACTCTCACGGATGCCATCTGTGCTGTGGGCGTCGAGTGTCTTCAGCTCTCATACCTGCTGTTCGCTCTGACAGGGCTCGGGAATGGGGTGATGTTGTAGGTGTATTTCTCCCTGAGCTCAGCCAGCTGGGGGAACGGGAACGGGGCCATGGAGTAGACCGTCTGTCAGGACGAAAACACACACTTTTAGCCCCAAAAGCAAACTTCCGGCATTTTCAACACTATTTTGCAACATTAAAGCTATTATAGTTGATTTAGTTATATGATAAGGTTTATATACAATTAATTACATTAATTATTCAAGATCTTTTATATGCTTAGTCTTACCTGCATGAGGTCATTGGAGTCGATAAGGTTGTGCTCCAGCATTTCCTGCGTCAGGCATCCCATAGTACTATAAAATTCATCTGCAGTCTGGCACTCCTCAATTCGCCTGAGAGAGAGAGAGATGCAGAATGCTTAATACAAGCTGAAAATTATCTCATATTTAATTTATGATCACATTTTTCTTTGGAATCTGGCCTACTCTACCACTCTCTATCATGGACAGGTGATTGATAAACTTACTCTCCAAGTTTGGCCCAGATGGCGAGAGCTACACGCAGTAGCATTTCAGAGCCCTCAAAGAAGACCGAGTCCCAGATCTTCAGCACGGTGTGATGGGGTAAACAAGTGGCAAACATGGTCAGAAACCACTGCATGGTGAAGACGTTGGTGAGCGGAGGCTCATAGCTCCCTGAAACACAATGCCGACACAATGCAGTTGACCTGGAACAGACATCGTTCTTTTGCATCCATATGCTGTATATATACAGGGTTGCTACACACCTCCTCCTTCCCGATTGGCTACTTTCTGGAGATGGTGGAGATGCTGAGAAAGTTCTGGAAGCTTAAGTCGCAGCAGATCTCTGAATACGGCCATGTCCACTGAGAGGGCTCGCAGGTTATTGGCGAAGTAACTATCGGGAAGCACTTTATCAATCAAATAGATCATCACCTTTCAAAAAACAATAATAAAAGATAATGAATTTTAGCATATTTTCTTGCTTATATAATAATATGAATGCATGAAATAATTATTAAATATTAAATAAAAAACAATAAAATATAAAAAAAACAAATGTGATTTGACCAATAAAATTATTTTAAAAAAATTAATTAAAATTTTTAAATTAAATAGAAAAAAATATGAAAATTGAAAAAAAATTTTTTTTAATTTAAATTAAAAAAGAAATCTAAAGGAGATTAAATACAATAGAAAGATAAACAAAAATAATAAATATATAATAAAAAAATATTCACATAAATAAATAAAATCACACGCACACACACGTGTTATATGTATGTTGGATAACTGTTGGATGAATAATTTCCAAATTTTTATCATAGATTAAGTTGCAATTCTGGTTGCAAATAAAATAAAAATTAAGGCATCAAGAAAGGATTGCCTCTGATGCCTCCTCAAAAATAAATAAAAAACAAGTAAATAACAGTCAAAAATAAATGTTTTTAAAAAAAATTCTCAGAGCTCATAGGTGTCTAGGCAAACCTTCAATGCATCTCCTTCATTTCCCTCTGTGACCTCCAGGATGAGGGCGGCCAGAACATTGAAGCCCTGACAGTATCCGACAGTCTTGTTCCAGCGGGCGTATGCCAGCAGCACCCGCTTCAGCACCACGCGGTCCTGCTCCGCCTCCTGGCCACAGTATGAACTGCAGCCGGTCCTGTGCAGGTCCTGAATGAGGCAGGAAACAAAGTGTTACAGGTCTTATGTAAATAATAAGCACACTGAACTTTGCACACTTGTGCACACGTGCCCAATAGATCACTGTTCTCTCTCATCCAGACCTACACAAACACACCTCCTATTACATTACCCACTAACTGACGCACTACAATGAGCAAATATCCTGCTGCACCATATAACCTTTTATCTGACTCAATTCCATTAAAGATCTGACGCAAAAACGCCTACTCTAAAGCCACGATTTATTTACTTGCCTTATAATGACTGTACAGCTTGTATTGCCTATTTAGTGACTTTAAAAAAAAAAAGAAAAGAAATGTGTATACATACATATATATATATATATATATAATACACCTTAAAATTAAATAACATTGGAAGCCCATTTCTGCCATAAAATAAAATAAAAATAATAAAGGTAATATGTGACATTTACCTTTTTTTCCCTTGCAATTTGGAATTTTTATTTCACAATTTGGACTTTTTTACTCACAATTCTTCTCTCTCACGTGAAATAAAAAATAAAGGGAATTGTGACTTAAGTTTTTTTTCTTGCAGATGCGAGTTTATTCCTTATAATTCTGACTTCTTTTTCTCAAAATTACGAGAAAAATGTCCAAATTGTGAGATATGAACACAATTTTACAAAAAAAGATGATTTTATCCTGTGGCATAAACAAGCTTCCATAAATAACTGCTTAAATAATTGTCTTAAAATAAAAAAGTAACTACATATATGACATCCGTGAGACAATGATGACCATATAAAGACGTCTCCTCTGCAGCTGCAGGTGTCTCATTAACAAATGAATGAAGGGATGTTGTGTAATCACCACTCATTAAAAAAACTGAAAATATCCAACTAAAACGCACAGACAAGTAGTTAAACAAGAAAATAGGAATGGTTTGGTCAATTCATCACATCATAAAGTTCTCTTTATATACTGTATATATATATATATATTCCTTTATATTCTTGATACCTCTTCTTACAAATTGACTAACTTGCATCCCTTTTGTAACTCATTAATAATAAGGTTTGTTTTCATTCAATGGCTCTTTATTTTTGGCAGGCAGGTTACCTAACTCATATTTTTAAGTCTCTTCTTTGTCTAACAGGAATAAATACCAAAAAACCAACAGAAATGACTGGAAACGACAAGTGTATTAGTGTATTATTATCGACCACGAAAAACCAAACGCGAAATATCGAATAGTTGATCAATGTCGCTGTCCGTTGCAGAGCGGTGCTGAATCTCACTTCCGCCTGCGGTTTCTTCCGGATAGACGACACCATCATGCATCAAGACGAAATAAACTATTTTTTTCCCACTGTTAAGGCGTCATATTGAGCAATGAAGAGTTATAACAACCCGATTAATTCTTTACAGTGCTGTAACGTTCACAGTAGCCATTGCTAAAGATGCTAAATCCTGTCAAACGCGCATTTAAACAACTCTACCTCACCAACACAAAAGCGGCTACTTCTCCTAGACTTTTTTCCTGGTACATAAAAATAAATAAACACCAACCCGTGTCCATCTCTGTCATAGTTCCATGCGATAAATAACAATCAGGAGTAGAATGGCACCATTTCTGTATTTCACTCGTCAGCCGGCGCTGTTCCGGATTAACCTACATGATTACAATCATCTGTCCAGCCCTCCTCCTGCACTCATGTTCCATTACACGACACGACACAAGGGTCTGAATGAAGAGCAGTAGGCATGTGCACTGTAATACACCTTTTATATTAAAAAAGGGGCATTTTTACTCAAACTTTTAAAGCAATGACCAATTAACAAAGACATAATATTTAAAAGTGAGCATAATATTTAATAACAAATTATTTCGTATTATTATTATATTATTAAACCAATTTCAGGACACCTCAAATTCAAAACTTTTTTTTCCAGTTTTAAAATTATATTAACATATATACTACTTATACAGTTTACTGAAATATATAATTCACAATTATATTAAAATAGCATATATATATATATATATATATATATATATAAATTATAAAAATTAGGCCTATATTGAATACACAAAATATGGGAAGGCCCTTTAGGTCACCTAATTATTACAAAAACACCATTCTACATTCAGCACCAGCGCACATAAAAGGGCGGAGGAAATCCTAGCAACAGTTTTATCTATAATGACAGGGCAAAGATTAATAATGAATAAAAAGAATGCGTTTAAAGCATGCTGTATTCACCTGGCTCTAGGGTGCACAGCAGGCGCGGCGCTCTTCTAGAGATGCCGTTGCGTTTCTTCAGCACATTACTGATAATATTACCGACTCCTCCTGCTGCATTCTGCCGTTTCACACAAACCCTCGACCTCTTAGAGGAAACAAACCGTTCCTGCTTCATCTGGAGAAAAACCTGAGGGGTCCGTTTGACCGCGCATTTACAACGATCTCATCCCGAGAATCATTTCATCTAAAAAAAAAAATCCTACTCGTTATGATCGACCCGATTAATAAATCAGAGGAAAACAACACATTCGCGCATCCTTTATCCTCATACGTGAAGATGCATGTCTGTACTTGAAGCATATGATTTTTAAGTAGAATAAAAGCATCAAAGGTGATCGAAAAGAACGCGGAGGATGGGAGAGGCGGAATATCGCAGTGATGCGCGTGTCTCACACCCACATATGAGCGTCACATTCCGGGTTGAGAGGGAGGAGGGACCGCTGGAGCTCTGGAGGATGGGCTACAGACCAGAAACAGCTGAAGAAAACAATGGCCTGAACATTCATGACTAGTGCCATGCTGCCATGCTGCCAACTTCAGCCTTAATCTTTAACAAGGAGGAATAAGGAAATAAAATACTACATACTCTTAAAAATTTCCAAAAGAGGGGTTTCGCAGAGATGACATAGAAGCAGCAATTTTGTTTTCCAAAAAAAAAAATTCAGTGAACAGTTCTTACTAGAACCTTTTTTTTTTCAGTGTGAAAAGCATTTATAAAAAACTAAAGAACATTTTGGGGAGTGGATTGGAGAGATTCTATGAATGCCAAAGGTTCTTCATGGAACCATATATTCCAGTAAAGAACCTTTACTTTAAGAATACAAGAAAATCTAAAAGTAAACATTCTTGATTTAGGACCCGATTAGAGTAAAAGAGTAGAGTAATCACCATAAATTCAGTCATTTTACACAAGCAGGCTGAATCATTTACAAAGGAACTGTTGTACTGTTTGAACATGGAGGAAGTAGTAAATTATTTTATTAATTAATTATTAGTGAAAGAAATAATCAAAAAAGGTAGGTTTTCTTTGAATTGGTCTCAAATTATTCCAAATTCAAGTAACTATCCTGACAACAGGGTAAATCAGGCAAATTTGATCATTAAAATTTCTTAATGATTGCCCAAAAGTTTCCAAATTTACCTGAACTCACTCACCCTATGAAGAGAGCACCCTTAATGCTACTAATGAGAGAGACACAAAACAGTTGTTTAAAAAATTCCGGCAAAAAAAAAAAAGAGTCCTGATATGAAAAAATATATATTATATTTTTTCCATTGGATGATAAGCATTCTAGTATTTTTTCTGACATGCATTCAGTGAGAAAACGGTGATAAATCATGCTACTCATGTTTACAAAAATAAACATGTCAACAAATAAAAAAACTGAACCATAACCATTCACAACTACAAAGTGACACCTCTTGCAATAAGAATAGACATTGACTGATGAATGGCAACCATGCAGAGTTATGGTTTTGATGTGATTTCATACTGTACCTGTTTGACAGTACTTGTCACGCTGCGTGTAGATAAAATAGAGGAAAAAGACATTAAAAGATGGAAGGCCGCTGTATTTGTTGGACATGCTTGTGCCTGAACCAAATACATAAAACAAAAGCACCCACTGCATCCAAATGTGTAAAGGAATTACTGCTGCACAATGACTACACAATGACTAATTTCCGAGCAAAATGCAAATACAAATTTGAGACCAATAGTTCAACAACATTACAGTGCAAATTTGCATGTAAGTGTCATAAACTCATCACATGAATGAGTCGCCTCTGAAACCGAATGGATTGAATTTCAGTGATATTGAACATAGTCTGTGTTCTGGATCTAATGCAAATAATTAAATTGTAAAGGTGAGGAGGAGTCAATCCTGTGATAGTGGTGAGATATTTGAGAGCACTGTCTTCTAAAACATCAACAGAGAACTAGAACAAGGTGAAGAAAAAATGCATTTGATACATGGGACCCAGAGCTTTTCAGCAACCGCTACCTATACTACACACCCTTTTAAAGTTATAATTCATCCAAAAATGAAAATGTACTCCTCTTCAGGCCATCCAAGATGTATATGAGCTTGTTTCTTCAGGACAGATTTGGATCCTCTGCAGTGAATGGGTGCTGTGCAAATAATCGAATGCGATGATCATGCACATCTCGTCAGTAAAGTCAGTTCTGTGATTAGTAGTAAATCTCCATCACCTGCTTTCAGATGGAGCAGCATTTACTACACCGAGCCATGGTTCACTGACAAGCACAGCCCTAATGGGTGCCGTCAGAATGAGAGTCCAAACAGCTGATAAAAATGTCTTCTAAAACATCAACAGAGAACTAGAACAAGGTGAAGAAAAAATGCATTTGATACATGGGACCCAGAGCTTTTCAGCAACCGCTACCTATACTACACACCCTTTTAAAGTTATAATTCATCCAAAAATGAAAATGTACTCCTCTTCAGGCCATCCAAGATGTATATGAGCTTGTTTCTTCAGGACAGATTTGGATCCTCTGCAGTGAATGGGTGCTGTGCAAATAATCGAATGCGATGATCATGCACATCTCGTCAGTAAAGTCAGTTCTGTGATTAGTAGTAAATCTCCATCACCTGCTTTCAGATGGAGCAGCATTTACTACACCGAGCCATGGTTCACTGACAAGCACAGCCCTAATGGGTGCCGTCAGAATGAGAGTCCAAACAGCTGATAAAAATATCACAATAATCCACAAGTAACCCACATCACTCCAGTCCACCAATTAATGTCTTGTGACATTAAACGTCTTAATTATGGATTTGTTTGCAGCTTTTGACTTCACAAGATGTTAATTGACGGACTGGAGTGGTGTGGATTATTGTGATGGTTTTATCAGCTGTTTGGACTTGAATTCTGACGGCACCCATTCACTGCAGAGGATCCATTGACGAGTGAATGATATAATGCTGTATTTCTCCAAATCTGTTCTCATTAAAAAACAAACTCATCTACATCTTGGATGGCCTGAGGGTTTCAGCAAATTTTCATTTTTAGGTGAACTATTCCTTTAAGGAATAACAGACATCAAGCGTTAGTGAAAGCAAAGACCTGCTCTCGATCTAGAATACATTAGTCTTCAAATAGCAAAGAAAGCCTTGGGTAATATAACACTGACTACTTAAAGCAATAATGACTGGAAGAGGAGTGAAATGAGAGAATGATTTGTAATTACGTCTTTTCTGAGAGATGGCTTGCAGGCAGGCGGTGACTATATCACAGTTCTTCTGAAACTTCTGCCGAAGTCTGTCCTTCCTCTTGACCTGACGCACCAGTTTGGCCGACTGCACTCCAATACGATACTTCACTTCCTGAATGATCCACTTCAGCTCCTCTGGACCTGAGCACAAAATAAAGCTGGTTTAAATCTATAGGATTTTAATCTATTCATTTTTTAGGAAATACAAAAAGCACACAAATCTCAAATTAATGTGTGCAAAACTTGGAATTTATGTAGACAGATTAAGATCATTATGATTGACTTAACACTGTGTGTACGTGTGTATACAAAAGACCTCTGTATGTAAATTGTCATTATGGCCTACAGAGAACCTGAGCACCTGAGACAACAATTAAATTACTTCAGCAAACAAAGGGTTAAGTTTTAACTGGCTCTCAGATTGGCATTAAAACTGGGTCAGTTCTGCAATGTGGCACACTAAATCTAAAACCTAATCATATTGAGAGAATGTGAACTACACAATTTTTCAAAACCTCAAAAGGAAACACCTACATCTAGACTTTATTTTATATCATGATTTGAACATAAATAAATATGGGTTCTCAAAAAAAGGAAAGATTCTGTAAATTATTCAAATACATCATTCAAAAGAACTTCATAAGGCACATACAAAAAATTGAATAATTAAGATTTGAATATCATTAAGATTTTAATGTTTTTGAAAGAAGACTCACCAAGGCTGTAACAATTATGCATATAAAATGTAGGACCATGTGACACTGAAGACTGGAATAAAGATGCTGAAAATGTATCTTTGACCACAGAAATAAATGACATATTAAAACAGATTAATATAGAAAACAGTTATTCTAAATTGTAATATTTCACAATGTTACAGATCTTACTGTATTTTTAAACAAATTAATGCAGCCTTCTTTCGTCTTTCAAAAACACGAAAAACTGTAATTATTCCAAACTTTTGGAATAATGATAGTGTATGATTTACATAAATAAGAATACATTGACAGTTTGAGTCGAATGTAACTGACTTCACTTGAAAAAGAAAGTGGCGCTCACCTTTTTGAGCCAGGTATTTCACCTGATGGCGCCTCGTGTGCTTCTCCTGAAGTTCTTGGAGAAAGCTGGAGCCAGTGTTACTCCTGCCCAGGAAGGCTTCTGAGCTGGAGGCTTCGGTCGAGCTGTCCACCCCTCTGACATTACTGTATGTGTCATAGAGCTCCACTAACAGACAGTCCACTATAGATGATGCGCGGGACGCTCTCAGATCCTCTTCATCCGAATACACACCTCCTCCTCCTCCTCCTCTCTCCATACGGATCTCTCCAGCTGCTGCTCCATGAGGCACTTTTGCGCACTTGCATAGTGAGACTGAAGCTGTTTTGGCGCACTCACAGTATCCATCCGATACTGAACGTCCCTTTGAAGCCCATTTGTGAAACGCGGAGAAGCCGTCAAGGTACGACGCACCTGAGTTGAGGAAAACTCCGCTCTCCTCCTCCTCCTCCTCCGAGCAGATGCCACATATGTCTATCTCCTTAAGTTCCTCTTTGGCCACTTCCACATCAGACATGTTTTAGCCCTCTTTAAAGTTCAACATTACACATGCTGCGCATAAGTACAACCCAAAGAGTGTTTTAGATGAATCAATAAGGAACTCGAGTTCCGGGTGTGTTCCATTCCTCGAGCGGGGTTGGCAGCGCCTTGCCCAGGCTCCACTTTCCTTCCTGATCGTTCTCAATCCTGACTGCACGCCCCTGCAGCAGGAATAGTTCAACCCACCGCCGACACTTTCAAACAAAAAGTTTTAAAACAACAGGTGACTGAGAAATATACAGCTTTTGTTTTTTTCACTACAACAACATTTGTAAATAAAAAATACTCCTCAATTGTTTGTAAATGAACGTGTCCAAATAAATAAATAGCATCTGGTAAAAACTACGCTTATAACATCAATATCCGAGATGAAAATGTAAATATATAGTATATTTGTAAATGAGTTTAATTTAATCAAAATTAATTTAAATACACGTCAGTTTAACCATTACTGAATGTTTCTCTACCATATTTTCACAGTAAAATTACGTTACTAAAATATCGTTAAAATGATTTTAAAAATGTTGATATGTTTAAAGGGGTCTGGTTTTCAAAATTAAAGCGAGAAACTAGTAATATTGTATATTATTAACATATACAACTTTAGTGACATAGTAGAGATTTAAGCAGTCGAGATGATAAAAAGAGATCACATAAGCCACAAAACATTAATTTTATGAATGACATCATGCCTTTGAGCGTAAACATCAGCTGACCGGAGACTCCACGTGACTGAAACAGGACAGTTTTATTAATCCTACTATGACGACGGGTAAGAGCATGAATATTAATGACGCAAACTGATGGACTGGATTCTGATTGGCTGTCAGGCAGACGTTGGTAGGCGGGCCTTATAGTATGCCTGCGAATGGGCTTGGCTTATGAATATAAATTAGGCTACGTGACCAGACGCCACAAGAGGTAACCAGGCAACGTCAGAATGTCTAAATAATATTCATGAAGCAAAAACGTCGCCATAGTATGATTCGTAATTTCGTACACAAGACTAAGCACGCTAGCTGCTCCTCTAAAGGAGCGTTTTCCTTAACCGTATTTAATGCTTGTATCGCAAGTTACTCGTTTAGGTCATGGCTTTATTTGTTTTTAATTCGGCATCAAAGATGGTTTCGTCTCCGTTTGTAATATTACATTGTATTCTCATCTGCGTCACTTTGCATTGTAACAATCTGGCCGAGGCTAAAATGAATCCCAGGCCGAATATAGTTTTAATCCTAACTGATGATCTAGATGTGTCTATCGGAGGAATGGGGAGTATATTTTCTAAGAATGTGTTGTTGTTGTTGTCGTTCTCCGTGGTCGTGATTTCCTCCTTGCATTTAGCATGTATCGTTGCTAAGTAAACGAGCTGCATCATCAGCATCTTGCCATCTCTCGTTCTACAGATCCCTTTGGTGAAGACGAAGAAGCTGATAGGTGACGCTGGGATAACCTTTACAAACACGGTGAGTAGAAATTGTGCTGGATCTGTTCCTTGTTGCATACAAGTGCTATGGGATCTTGCATGTCATCCAAGCTTAAAAAGCCCTCATATAGTTCAACATGAGAATATTTCTAGATTTGTTAGACATAGCAAATCAAATGTGCATTGAGGATCAACCAGCATGCATGTTTGCCATTGCATCGGTCATCTTTTCTTGTCATTTCTTCTCTCGTGTAGTTTGTCGCCAGTCCCCTTTGCTGTCCCAGCCGGGCGAGCATCCTGACGGGCAAATATCCTCATAACCATCATGTGGTCAACAACACGCTGGAGGGCAACTGCAGCAGCACTGCGTGGCAGAAGACCCAAGAGCCCGAGACTTTCCCCGCCTTCCTTCAGAAACACGGCATCTATCAGACCTTCTTTGCTGGGAAGTATCTGAATGAGGTGAAGACGCATACTGGGAGCTTTCATAATGATGAAACCTTTTCTTTGGGTGAATCAAGTTGACAGTACGTCACCTTGAATCATCCATGTCTGTTTCTCTGCTACAGTACGGGAATAAAAAAGCAGGAGGTGTGGAGCACGTTCCTCCAGGCTGGGATCACTGGTTCGCCTTGGTAAGAAAAAGACAGGAGATTATCAGTGCTGTATCATTTAATAATGTAATCATTTCACTGTAAATTATTTTTGACTGTTCATCTACAGCTGTGATGTTATTGTGATGAAAAACTAAATGAAAATGAGCAACTAACTGAAATAAGTACTAAAATTACTAACTGAAATCAATGTAAAAATGAAATTAAAATAAAATAATTCTGAAATATTTTTAAAAGGAAAAACCTAATAAAAAAATAAAAAAGCAAATAAACTGAAAAAATGAGATGAATTCTAAATATATATTTTTTTTAAACTATAATGTTATAAAAATAAAATAAAACAAAAACAAGAGGCCTGGTGGCTTACCTTTGAGAATCACGAGTAGAAGAAGATATAAAAAAAAAATTTAATAGAGAAATAAAAAAAAAATTAAATGAAGAAATGTAAAAAAAAAAAGTAAGAATTAAATAAAGAAATAAAAAAATTCAAAGGGCTTGTGAAATCATAGTAGAGAAATGACAAGCTCTTCAACTTTTCCCATCAGTGCTGCAAAATCTAATTTTAGCTGGAAGGTTAGGAAAACAGTTTGTAGCCTAAAATATAGCATGTTCTTCCCAAACCTTTGCTCATGCAAGAAATACATCCAGAAGAGAAAAAGTATGTTTTCTGAAGCCATTCTAATTGTTTTCCTATTAGCAGCTCCCATGATTCATAGCTCACGTGTCATTGAGAGCAGATTGAAGGTTTTGTTTAGTTTTATTTTATTTTTTCAAAGACCAGAAAAATGTTTGTATGTATTTATTAAAGAGTCTTTCTTTATTTTAATATTTTGTATTTATTTAATTTCGCCGTTTCATTTCTTTATTGAAATGTTATTATTTATATTTTTATTTCTGTATTTCTTTTTAAATTTCTTTTTAATTTCTAATTTATTTTCAGGTTTTTGAAAACAAGTTTTGATTCTAAACCAGATTAGTTTAAAGTGAAATATTTGCAATGATTTGAACATATTCCTACAGGAGAGAAACTCCAAATACTACAACTACACGCTGTCAGTGAACGGCAGGGCGCAGCGGCATGGACAGAACTACAGCGAGGATTACCTTACAGATGTTCTGGTAAGAGCAGATCTCACCTGTGTTCACGAGACTACATCAAACCTCATGCATTTGATGTTCAGTGGCTTCTGATTCCTTCCAGGCCAATATTTCCATTGACTTCCTGGAAAACAAGTCTAACCGCAGGCCTTTCTTCATGATGGTGTCCACACCGGCCCCGCACTCGCCCTGGACAGCCGCTCCTCAGTACGAGAGCAATTTTCCCAACATTAAAGCGCCAAGAGACCCTAACTTTAACGTACACGGCAAGGTACATGCCTGATGTGTCTGAAATATTCTGATTGGATCGTTTTTTGAGAATGTGACAGCATTTCAACCTGCTTTTCAGGACAAGCACTGGCTCATCAGACAAGCAAAGACGCCCATGACAAACTCTTCAGTGGAGTTCTTGGATAACGCCTACAGAAAACGGTATTCAGATGCTTTTAAATCATGCACTTGATATTAATACTGCACATGAAGTAATGCGACACTGATGATCTGTTCCACCAGGTGGCGCACTTTACTATCAGTAGACGACCTGGTGGAGAAGGTGGTGAGAAAGCTGGAGGTCAGAGGAGAGCTTAGCAACACCTATGTCATTTTCACCTCTGACAACGGATACCACACAGGTACACAATGAGTTATATAGCGGAGAAATGTTTTTTCGTTAACTTTACCTAGCTTTTATTTTGTCATGTGTCTGTTTCTTCTCTCAGGCCAGTTTTCTCTTCCGATGGATAAGAGGCAACTCTATGAATTTGATATCAGAGTTCCTCTGTTGGTGCGAGGGCCTAATATCAAACCCAACCAGACAAGCCCGGTAATATAAAAAAGCATTAAAAAAAATTACTTGTTCCTATATTTTCTTATTTTTTATTTCTTCATTTGATTTTTTTCTTTAAATTTGTTTATTTCTGTTTCAGTTTTTATTTTTACTTTCTCACATTATTTCATTTTTATGTATTTGTTATTGGAATTTTTTACTAATCTATTTTTTCCAAAATCTAAGTTTTGATTCTAAACCAGATTTGTTTGTGATGTTTTGCTTGTGTATGCGCGCTATAATAATAGCATGTATATGTAATATTTACATTAACAGAATTTTTTTTTATATAATATTTATTTGCTTTTTTTAATCTGTTTTAACAGTTACTTATAGCAAATATGGATTTGGGTCCAACAATTCTGGACATCGCAGGATACAGCGTCAATGAAACTCAGATGGACGGGATGTCATTTCTTCCTACCATGGTGGATCCTGATTGAATTTATTAACTTTGAAATGATTTTTAAAAAATGCATTAAAGTGCCAATCATTCTTGGTCATTTTGGGCATAATGCATGTTTTTTGTAGTACTTCTTGCTACACGATCAGTATAATTAACTTAAGTGATAAATGAACAAGGGGTTGTGTTTGATTTGACATGTCTTTGTGTCTCAGACCGGTAAAGGGAACAGCAGCACGTGGAGATCTGATGTACTGGTGGAATATGAGGGAGAAGGAAGCAACATCTCAGACCCAGCCTGCCCTCTGCTGGGGCCCGGGGTCTCGGTGAGGCTCTGCGTGCCACAAATAAATAGTCATTACAGTAATGAGTGCTGTAACACAGCTGTTGTCTCTGCAGGAGTGCTTCCCCGACTGTGTGTGTGAAGACTCGTACAATAACACGTACGCCTGCGTTCGCACTGTAGCACAGGCTGCCAACTTACAGTACTGTGAATTTGATGATAACGAGGTAAAAATAAAATATAGTGTTTCCAACAGCTAACTGACAATAATACTGCCAAGTATAATAAAAAAAATATTAATATTTAATGTGTATTAATAACTAATAATAGCACACCGTCTTTGCTTGCAGGTGTTTGTGGAGGTCTATAACCTGACAGCAGACCCGTTTCAGCTGAGTAACATCGCCAAGAGCATCGATCAGGAAGTCCTGGAGAAGATGAACCACCGGCTAATGATGCTGCAGTCCTGCTCGGGACAGTCCTGCAGAACACCAGGCGTCTACGACTCACAGTCAGTGCTTCCTTAACACTTCAACAATCAGCATTCACTGGGAATAGCTGTATTATTATTAACATGGTAGGATATCAAACTTCCAGCTCGCTTGTCACTGTTTCACCAGGTTCAGGTTTGATCCTCGGCTGATGTTCAGCAGCCTCGTGTCTCACAGAAACAAACGACGACAGACGCTGAAGTAGAGCGTGGAGAGGTTTACAGGAACAAGACAAATGGAGGGAAAGAATAAAGGGCACTGAAAAAGAAGCCCTCTTGTTGCCTTTATATCCTGACGTTCCCCCAAAGACGCCCAGTCTCTCCTCCTCTGATGAGGTCATCAGGGTGCGCCAGGGTACCAAACACACCACAGACACTTTCAGACAGGACGACCTTCATCCCCTCCAGCTCTCATTCACATCAGATCCTCACAAACTGCCAGCTGACACACATCTGTGAGAGCATTCACATCATATTCCTCTTTATTCTCAATTAATGTTCAGTTTTGCTGCTTTAATAATAACACAGGATATTGTCTTTATTTTAATGTTTTGAAAATGTTGTTTTACTTTTGCTTTAAACACATGCACAGTTTTGACCTTGAGCTCCAATTTTGTAATGCATTTGAAAATTGTTGGATTATTTGTGTTTGCCAGATGTGTCTGAAACATTTCACTCCACGTATTCGGTTATAAAAGTATTTACAACTGCACTAAGCCTGCCTTTTATGATAAACACTTAGAATGAAAGCTTGTTTTTGGCTACAGGATAAAAAATAAAAAAAGGTCATTGCAACTTTTTATCTTACAATTTGGATTTTTCCCCCCCCTTGCAATTCTGAGTTTATATCACAATTTTGACTTTTTTTTCCCCAATTGCAAGATATAAACTCACATTTCTGAGAAAAAAAATTGTGAGATGTAAACTCCGAATTCTGACTTTTGTCTCATAACAAATACCGAGAATTCTCAGAATTGTGTTTATTTTTTTTGTTTCTATCACAGAATAATAAACAAAAAATAATTGGTAATTGCAACTTTTTACATCAGAATTCAGTTATTTTTTTCTTGTTACAAATCTCACAATTCAGACTTCTCAGAATTGCAACTTTATATATAATAAAAGAGTTATAAATGGACTTTTCTGCTCAGAATTGAGTTTATATCTTGCAATTCTGATTTTCAAATTCTGAAGTCCGAATTGTGAGATTAAAAGTTGTTTATTTTTTATCCCATAGCAGAAATAGGCTTACATATGATAATGAACTACAGTATTTTTTAATGCGCAATATACCTTATTATATAAAAATATTCTCTCACTTTTTCAGTTCCTGTCACTTGCGTATGGCAGCACACAATCTGTGTTTGGACAGACATTTCACTTGAATTAACAACTAAAAGATTCACTAACTAAGTGCAAATATTGTATTTAGCATTTCATTATTGCAACCCAAACTTGCGGTGGTAAGGGACTGTTTTACTTTCAGACTACTACCTAACCTTCATCAATCTTCTGCTGTGACTGGCAATATCTCAAATCACCCAAAGTGATCTGAGAGGCGGCAGACATAAGCAGATCTTTCTCACAATACTTCAATATATCTGTTCAGTGAAGCACTTTCTAGTCTGTGATAAACATGCCTGACATGTTTAATGATGTTTTGCACATAATTCTTTCATTATATTTGTTAGTAGCATTGCAATGGTTGGTGTGGACTTTTGTCTTGTGTGTTTGATTGATAAAAGCATTCTGAAATCATTTTTGTTGCAGTGTTTTCCTTTGTGCTTAATTTTATAACATTTATTCAGCTAAATTTATTATTAGTTAAATAATTGTAAAAGTCTTTTTAAACAAAATATAGAGAGAATAAACGGGACCATAGGCACGGCATTCAACTGTGTGATTATTGTATGTATATATTATATATTCTTATTACAGTACATATTTTTAATTATGTGATATATATTGCTTAAATTATTTTAAAAGTTTTTTATTATTTATATGAACATTTAATGTATTATAGTCCTTAAATATTACATATACTATCATTACAATATATATTTTTGAATATTTTTTATTTAATATATATAATCTAATTGCAATGCTGTTCTGATCTGTATATTAACTCTACATACATTTTTAATATTTGTGTTTTTTGCTTCAAAGTTCACTGTCATCGAATAGTTCAACATGTTATTTCTGTCTTTTGCATTACATTAGCATAAGATTTTTTTTTTATTGGGAACAGCTATTCAAAATGTTAATATCTTCCATTTCTAGTGCACATGTTGACCAGTGCATTTTGCAGTTCAGAAAAACTTCATAAAACAAAACAGAATGTGGCACTAATACAGTTAAAACATCTGTGTTAGACCAATTATAACAGCTTAACTAGACTTAAAGTCACAGAATTCAGTTAGAACCACACGTAGCTTCTTCACAAGACTGCAGTGCATTTTTTAAAATAAATCATTTTACATTCTCCATGAAAGGCTATCGAAAGTCCCAGTTTTCCCATGTGTGAGTCCACCTGTAAGCGTCTCAGACGCTCCACTCCTCCAGCACAGGCAGGAACGGCAGGTCAGTGCTGCCCAGATAGTAGTGCGTCCCCTGCTGGAAGACATCGCTGACGGCCCACGTGAGGCTGCCTGTGGGGTCGTGGAGGCTGTCGATCAAAAGTATTTACAACTGCACTAAGCCTGCCTTTTATGATAAACACTTAGAATGAAAGCTTGTTTTTGGCTACAGGATAAAAAATAAAAAAAGGTCATTGCAACTTTTTATCTTACAATTTGGATTTTTCCCCCCCCTTGCAATTCTGAGTTTATATCACAATTTTGACTTTTTTTTCCCCAATTGCAAGATATAAACTCACATTTCTGAGAAAAAAAATTGTGAGATGTAAACTCCGAATTCTGACTTTTGTCTCATAACAAATACCGAGAATTCTCAGAATTGTGTTTATTTTTTTTGTTTCTATCACAGAATAATAAACAAAAAATAATTGGTAATTGCAACTTTTTACATCAGAATTCAGTTATTTTTTTCTTGTTACAAATCTCACAATTCAGACTTCTCAGAATTGCAACTTTATATATAATAAAAGAGTTATAAATGGACTTTTCTGCTCAGAATTGAGTTTATATCTTGCAATTCTGATTTTCAAATTCTGAAGTCCGAATTGTGAGATTAAAAGTTGTTTATTTTTTATCCCATAGCAGAAATAGGCTTACATATGATAATGAACTACAGTATTTTTTAATGCGCAATATACCTTATTATATAAAAATATTCTCTCACTTTTTCAGTTCCTGTCACTTGCGTATGGCAGCACACAATCTGTGTTTGGACAGACATTTCACTTGAATTAACAACTAAAAGATTCACTAACTAAGTGCAAATATTGTATTTAGCATTTCATTATTGTCTTTTCTGAGTTTTGTGTTTGACAGATGTCAGTTGTGAATGAGCCACAGGTGTGGATCACAGCAGGTCATTGATGAACCTGTTTATTTTTGGTTCTATGAGGGAAATCCTGTGGTGGGTTGCTGTTGCTTTGCTCTCACTTACAGCAGCCCAAACTTGAGGCATTAAGGGACGTTTTACTTTCAGAATACTACCTAACCTTCATCAATCTTCTGGCAATACCTCAAATCACCCAAAATGATCTGAGAGGTGGCAGACAGCCATAAGCAGATCTTTCTCACAATACTTCAATATATCTGTTCAGTGAAGCACTTTCTAGTCTGTGATAAACATGCCTGACATGTTTAATGATGTTTTGCACATAATTCTTTCATTATATTTGTTAGTAGCATTGCAATGGTTGGTGTGGACTTTTGTCTTGTGTGTTTGATTGATAAAAGCATTCTGAAATCATTTTTGTTGCAGTGTTTTCCTTTGTGCTTAATTTTATAACATTTATTCAGCTAAATTTATTATTAGTTAAATAATTGTAAAAGTCTTTTTAAACAAAATATAGAGAGAATAAACGGGACCATAGGCACGGCATTCAACTGTGTGATTATTGTATGTATATATTATATATTCTTATTACAGTACATATTTTTAATTATGTGATATATATTGCTTAAATTATTTTAAAAGTTTTTTATTATTTATATGAACATTTAATGTATTATAGTCCTTAAATATTACATATACTATCATTACAATATATATTTTTGAATATTTTTTATTTAATATATATAATCTAATTGCAATGCTGTTCTGATCTGTATATTAACTCTACATACATTTTTAATATTTGTGTTTTTTGCTTCAAAGTTCACTGTCATCGAATAGTTCAACATGTTATTTCTGTCTTTTGCATTACATTAGCATAAGATTTTTTTTTTATTGGGAACAGCTATTCAAAATGTTAATATCTTCCATTTCTAGTGCACATGTTGACCAGTGCATTTTGCAGTTCAGAAAAACTTCATAAAACAAAACAGAATGTGGCACTAATACAGTTAAAACATCTGTGTTAGACCAATTATAACAGCTTAACTAGACTTAAAGTCACAGAATTCAGTTAGAACCACACGTAGCTTCTTCACAAGACTGCAGTGCATTTTTAAAAATAAATCATTTTACATTCTCCATGAAAGGCTATCGAAAGTCCCAGTTTTCCCATGTGTGAGTCCACCTGTAAGCGTCTCAGACGGTCAGCTCCACTCCTCCAGCACAGGCAGGAACGGCAGGTCAGTGCTGCCCAGATAGTAGTGCGTCCCCTGCTGGAAGACATCGCTGACGGCCCACGTGAGGCTGCCTGTGGGGTCGTGGAGGCTGTCGATCACCTCTCCGTCAGGCCCCAGCTCCAGAATCAAGCCGTACTTGGACAGCAGAACATTGTACCAGCTGAGAGGAACGAGCTGCAAGAGATTCCACGTATATCACTTCTAACAATAAAACCATTCAAAAATTGTTACATGAAATAAAATATTAAAAAGTACTGTTTTATGTTTCATCTTTACCAGTTGACAAGGCGATATTTTTTTTATTTACTATTGGTTAACTTGATGTACTAAAATAACAAACTATTATATACATTATAATAAATGTATATAAATGACAAACTAAATAGACATCTTAGGCATAAATAGACATAAAAGAACACAAAATAATAAAAACAATTACAAAAACAACTTTATTTAGTTATGCATAATTAAAATTATAAACAAAATAATAAGTAAAATTATTTATTAATGTAGAATTATTCTAGTTAACTAAAACTAAAATCATAAAAATGACCTGATATAAAATAAATACTAATTCAAATAAAATAAAATATAACAAAAATAACTGTTTTATTTTATTATATATTTTATTTCAGCTAGCTGCCAAGGTAACATTTTTCATTGCCATTTAGTTCAACTTGAAGTATTAAAATAACTCAAAACAAAAACAGAAATAAAAATGATAAACTAAAGAAGACATTAAAAAACAATCAAACAAAATTACTAAAATGAAAACGAGAAATCTCACCTGGGTTATTATTATAATTAACAAAAAAAAAGTTAGTTGAAATAAAATAAATATCAAAATATGAATAAAAACAATATAGTAACTCAGTGATACTAAAATAACTCCGAACCCCACATATTTAAGATTTACCCACCTTCACTATAAAGCTTTTAAGAGTAGGATACGGACCAATCAGATCCAAGAACGGTGGGAAAAGCCGTCCGCGGAATCGAACAGTGGTTATGCCCACTAAAAACGTGCCGCGGTCACTGAGGCGGATGTTATCAGGGTAACCGATCATGTTGTTCAGGATGACCTCCTTGGTGCCCGCTT